TCCTGTTCTCTACGCTACAGGCTTTTGGGTTTGGGGGGTCCTTTCTGGAAGGGATTAAGATGTTGTATAGGAATGTCAGCTGTATGGTGAAGGTAGCGGGGGGCCTGACTCAACCCATACCTGTTCTAAGAGGAATCAGACAGGGTTGTCCCATCTCAGGACAACTGTATATTTTAGCTATTGAACCGCGCTGCGTCGGCTGAGGAACAGGCTGAAAGGTCTACACCTACCTTTACCTGTCTCTAGTCCTCCCTTAGTTGTGTCTGCTTATGCAGATGATGTGAATGTTTTTATCCATGATCAGCATGATGTACAAGAACTCAGATCTAGTTTACTTTTATATGAGAATGCATCCTCAGCTAAGGTTAACTGGGACAAGAGTGAGGCATGTGTAGTGGGGGGGTGGGACCTTAATAATGTCGCGCCTCTACCAGAAGGGCTGAGGTGGGGAACGGGAGGTATTAAAACACTAGGCCTGTACTTGGGTACTGAAAGTTTTCAGAAACAGAACTGGGAGAAGGTGCTGGAGAAGGTGGAGGCGAGGTTGTCCAAATGGAAATGGCTTCTCCCTCAGCTGTCCTACAGGGGCAGGGTTCTGATAGCAAACAACCTGGTTGCCTCGTTTCTGTGGCACAGACTAATTGTACTGGTTCCACCACCGGGTCTGCTGGAAAGTGTTCAGAAGTTGTTGGTGAAATTCTTCTGGTCCGGTCACCACTGGATCAGAGCCTCGGCTCTTTACCTACCCGTGTCGGAGGGAGGACAAGGACTAATAGACGTGGTGTCTAGAACTGCAGCCTTCAGGTTACAGACAGCTCAGAAGCTTTTTTATGATGACGGACTCTGCTGGCTGCCCCTGGCACATCTCCTGCTGCAGAAGGTTGGTGGGCTTGGGCTAAACAAACACCTGTTCCTGTTGAATCGGAAGGTGTTGGATCTGACAAGGATTAGTCCGTTCTACGCGTCAGTGCTGGACTCTTTTAAGCTGCTGACAGTATCCAGAACGTCTGACACGGGACCAGGGACATGGTTGCTACAAGAACCCTTGTTTGACAATGACTTCTTCTCTCAAGCTGGCATTTTAAGTTCATCTGCGTTGCAAGTGAAGTTCACCAGTGCTGGGATTGTAAAGTTTGGTCACTTACCGAAGATCCCGGCTGGAACCCTTAGTGAGCGGTTGGATGTGAGGTCCACCAGAGTGATGGAGAGAGTGGTGGAGGAGGTACGGAGGTCCTTGTCTGTGTTGCAGAGAGCCTTCATTGAGACTTGTACTCTATCTGAGCAATGGGATGATGACAGTGAGTATGTTTTTCCGTCTCTGGAGGTTAAAGCCGCTGGTGAGGGATGGCAGGAGGAGAGTGGATTACTGCTGAACCCGAACACTCCAGTGTTGGGCTCCTTCCAGTCTTGTGGGAAGAAACAGCTCTATCAAACTTGTGTGAAGGTTATCAATAGGCGCTCCTTGTTAGGAGTCAAGGAGTCGAGGTGGACGCAGGTGTTTGCTGCGGACGATGTCCCTGGGGGGAGCTGGAGGAGTTTGTATAAGTCTCCAGTGGAAAAAAGGATGGCAGACCTCCAGTGGAGGATCATACATGGAGCTTTAGCTACGAACAGACACAGAGCCCGCTTTGATCCAAGCACCGGGGAGGGATGTCCTTTTTGTAACCAAACAGAGACCCTAAAGCATCTAGTGGTAGCATGTTCTAGGTTAGCAGGGATGTTTAAGGTTTTAGAACGGTGGGTTAGTGCTCTGGGGGAGACTTTTACCCAACACTTATTCGTTTTCGGGCCCAAGTACAGTGTCAGAAAAAAACGGACAATACTGTTAATCAACTTTTTATTTGCATGTGCAAAACTAGCCATCTGGAAAACCAGAAAAAACCAGATGCTGGGACAGAGCTGGACTGATGCTGAGAAGAGTCTGAAGGGCCTGGTGGAAGCTCGCTTAAAGATCGAACACGCTTTTTACGAACTTACTGGGAACCTGGACTCGTTTAGAGCGGTGTGGGGGATTGGGCAGGTGCTCTGTCTGCTGGATGGACAGGGCTCCCTAAAGATCAACTTCTAAACTGGTTTATCAGTTGCCCTGGTTTTATTAGTGGAAAACAAGTTTCAGTCATTAATGCTGATTGTTGATCTGTAAAGAAAAATAAATCATTTAAAAGTCAAAGTATCTCTCTCTCTCTCTCTCTCTCTCTCTCTCTCTCTCTCTCACTCTCTCTCTCTCTCCCTCACTCTCTCTCTTTCACTCTCTCATTCTCTCTCTCTCACACTCTCACTCTCTCTCGATCACACTCTCTCACACACATACTTTCTCTCACACACTCCCTCTCTCTCTCTTTCTCTCACACACTCTCACTCTCTCTCTCTCTCTCTCACACTCTCTCTCACTCTCTCTCTCTCTCCCTCACACTTTCTCTCTTTCACTCTCTCACTCTCTCTCTTTCACACTCTCTCTCTCTCACTCTATCACACTCTCTCACACACACACTTTCTCTCTCTCTCTCACACACACACACTCTCACTCATTATCTCTCTCACACACTCTCTCACACACTCTCACTCTCTCTCTCACACACTCTCTCTCTCACTCTCTCTCTCTCTCCCTCACACTTTCT